CAGTGAAGCAACGTCCTCCACAACTAGACTGAAGAACAAAACGACAGCAACTTGTCTGTTCCCCTTCCCCCAATTCCCCAATTTAAAAAAAAAAAATAGCTCATGGTGTTTTGGAGGACATATCAAGAAATTTAAGACATTTAATACTTTTAAATAAAGTGCCTTAATACCCAAGATACCTTAATGCCCTGAGCTCAGAGAGGCACAAAGACTCACTCATGCTCACAGCACTAATTAGTCATAGGACATGGTCATCTATTTCATGATTCCCCAATTTCATGATTTTTGCACCAGATACCAATATTAGTCTTGATAATTATTTCCAATGTTAATTTTATGTAGAACACTTCACATTATTTCTAACTAGTCAATAAATTAATGTTATATACCACAATGGAAATAACAGTCCCTTTTCATATTTTGATCAAGTGTCTTTTCAAAAGTCTCACAAGACTGCATAAGATAGATCTAGTGCATCAAACCCCACAGCATATCAGCTCGATGTTTAACGTTATGTTCAATACTGAACAGTGAAGAGGGTAAACCTTGTCTTTTGAGTGTGGAGTTCAGCCATCCTAACACTGCCCAGCGCTCCACACACCATGGTGCTATGCAGCAAGAAAACACAGTTACAGGGTTAATCCAAAGAACAACTTAAAAGCCATTTCGATGGCAATTTCTGTGACTGAATCATGAAAACAAACGTAAAGTTCTTGAAGCTTGGGATGAAGAAAGAGTCTCCTGTAGAGGAAAAGAACACACTTGTTTTAGAAATTCATTAACAAAAAAAAGAAAAAAATCAAAAATTTAATTTTTTGTTTCTGAAAGAATCATAGATTTAAAAAACCTCGACTTTAAATCTATAGTAGGGGAAATACAGCTGGATCTATTTTAAATAAATAATATATGCCTTAGGTCAATTATTTTTATTTTTCCAGGGTGTAAAAAGCCTATTTTGTCAATATGTATTACCATATCCCTCAGTTTCTTAAATATTAAATTCAGTCATTATTATTATGATAAAGCCAATGATGTTACCATCATTTTAAGTACAATAGTTATTACACATTGTCATTTACTTTCTAAAGGTTGATTATTATTAAAACATTAAATATATGATAGCTTTTTGCAGATAGTACTGAACTGGGATTACCACTGAAATTTTATTTGGTTTTCTTAAAAGAGTTAAAAATTTTAATCTATTTAATTAATGCTAATGTATATAAATATATATTGGGTTGTCGGAAAAGTCATGACGCATTTTTGCAACAAAAAACACAAAATACGTCATGACTTTTATATATATATATATATATATATATAGAGAGAGAGAGAGAGAGAGAGAGAGAGAGAGAGAGATCTCTATATCCATGTAATATACTTGTCTATCCATAGATATTTGAGCATATTTCATATTTCTTCTAGACGTAAGACCATTGGATGCAGTGACTGTGATTTTATCTTTCCGTTTGCCATACCACCCACCCACCACCACATTTTGCCGAGCACAGGTCCATTCACTAAACTGTTATGTATTTATCAAGGGACTATATGCTAGGTGCCAGTGGCAGACAAGACATGATTCCTAACCTCATAAGGCCAAATTCTAGTGATGCAGAGAAAGACCATAAATAAACAAGAAAATAAACACTAAAGGGGTGATATAATAGAGAATAACTGAGTAGCCACTGTAACGTGGGAAAGATCATGGATCCTCTCTGCAGAGATGACTTGTGAGCACTGATCTGAATATCAAGGAGCCAGAAACGCAAAGATTAAGAGGCAGGATATCCCACACAGAAGGAATAACAGGAACAAGGTTCGACTGGTGCCGCCGATGTGGCTGTGACAATATAGGAGGAGAAGAGTGACAGGAGGTGGAAGCAGAGAGATGGACAAGGACCAGGTCGGGCAGGGTCCTGTAGTTGATGGGGGATGAGCAGAAGAGGGAAAGAAAGAAGGAAGCAGGGACAGAAGAAAGGAAATAGTAAAATTTGATACCATTATTTTTGGTTTCTTATTAACATAATTTTGTAAGATAACTGAAAAACCTTTTTGTTTTTTTAGTAGAAAATTACTTGGGAGGAATTTAAAGGAGATACTTAGTAAATAAAATTCTAAACTATATTAAAACATTATAGTTTAATAATTGCATGCCTACATCTTTTGTGTGTGTGTGTGTGTGTGTGTGTAAATGAGTTTATTGAGGAAGACACAAGGCCAAGCTTCCCCCAACCCCAAGAACAGGTCCCAACAACAAAAGAATGATAGGCATTCTTAGGGCAACATTTACCCCTTCCCCCTCCATTTCCAGCGTCCCAAGCGTCACAACACAGACACACTGGACAGGCTCAGGTGAGGACAGACACTCAGGGAATCTCTGACCAGCAAGAGTTCTGGGTGTGTGTGTGCTTCCCTTGCCCTTCGAATGACACCAGCTGACGTTACAAACACAAACTGAGGCAGAGGAGAGGGGAATGCAGGGCAATCTCCATTCCGTTTCCCCAGCATGCCTACATCTTAAAACTTTATCCCCTTTACCACTCTTCTTTCACTTTTCTAACATTTTACTTCACTTTCACATACTTTCTTTTCCACTTACCCTACTACCCAGTAAGCCATGACTGGTGGTGCTTTTCTCTGATCAGTCCAGTTTTCAGGTGAGCATTCAAACAATATACCATGTTCTTTCACAGGGTTTAGAGAAGACACTGAATTTGTAGACTCAGAATGATCTCCAACATTTAATGCTTTCTTTTTCTGTAAATTAATAGTTATTAGTATTAACTGGTGTTAACTGTGTGACTTTAAAATGTTTTCACATACAGATCTGAATTGGCCAATCCTAATTCTGAAGTGCCTGCGACAACATACATAATTCTTCTCCTTACCTGCAGTTCTACTCTTCCTCATAGTTACTTTAAATACCATGTCCTTTATAAAAGAGACTTTATGGAAAAAGTGTCTCTTGACTCTCCCAGGGAACCCTTTGTTCACAGCCCTATATTATTAGTATTTATATTATATTACATTAGCAGTTTATAGGTCTGTCTTCCCTCATACATTATAAGCCTTTTTTCAGGGCTCAGACAATATACTATTCATCACTGTAATATTTGAAAGCCGCAGTGCCTGCTACATATCAGGCGCCTAATGAATAGATTACTAAGTGAACACATGATTTTTTTTAATATACTTTAAACACATACTTAAAACAGTATTGTCTCTTCCTCTGATGCATACTCTCTAAATATCCCATTGATTACATCATTAGCAAAACAATGACTTACTTGATTGTCCAGGTTGATTGTTTTATGATTCGGCTGTAATCTCAATGTGGCCATGGGAGGAGGCAAGCATAGCACTTACCTACTCTGCCATCTTAGCTGTACCTTCCTAAAACAATGACTTATTTGGAATATAAAGACTTTTGCAAGGCTCAGGCCAAAACAGTGGAATGGCCCTTTATTCTTCCCTTTCTGTCATAATCCTTATCTAATCCATCAACAAATCCTTTTGTCTCATCCTCCAAAATATATCCAGAATCCAGAAGCCACATTTGTTTCTTGCTTTGAGAATTTCCATAGTTTCCTAACAGGTCCCTGCCTCCACCCGAGCTACCCTACAATGCCTGTTCTTCCAATAGCACCCAGAGTGATTCTTCAAAAACTTAAGGACCATGTGTCTGCTCAGCTCAGAACTGTCCAGGAATCTCCCAACCCCTTCAGAACACAGCCCAAAGCCCTGGAATCTTCAGGCCATGTGTGATCTGGCCCCGCTGCCTTTGCCATCTCCATTCCTACCCCTCTCCTGCCCACTCAGCCACTCTGACCTCTGTGGCTTTGCACCTGCTAGGCCCTCTGGAAGCTCTGTCTCCAGACTTGCCAAATGGCTTGCTCTCTCACTTCATTCAGACCTTTCTTCAAATGTTACTTGACATGATCAGAGGGATATTTGTAATAGTAACCCCCACTTCTCATCCTTACCCTGTTTTATGATTCCTTTTGAAACGTATTCTATCTGACATATGACTCTACTTGCTAATTCACTAGTTGCTCCTATTAGAATATAGACTTCATGAGGAAAGGGACTTTGTTTTGTTCACTGCTGTATCACCAATACCTAGAATAGTGTCTGCTGAGTAATGGGCACCTCGACATTTAAATAATATGAGGAAGGCTAATTTATATCACTACATATTATTAAATAAGCTAATAAAATATTCCCTTATAGAATCCATCAGTTATCCTCAATAGGAAGGAGGAACATAAGAGTGCAAAGCACATAGGGATATATGGTCAAACATAACATTTTGCTGAATACCAGTTTCTGATAGCTTGAAGAAGAAATTCTATAAGACACAGAATTTTACTGCTGAATGAGTCCTAAGAGTTTATATCATTCAGCCCACTCACTTTGTAGCTGAGGAAAACAGGAAGAGTCGAAGGGTCCATCCAGGATTCCTATTTCCAGCCCAATGTTCTTCTACTTTGAAGCCCAATTTCTTTACAAATTTAGATCCTTAACACACGTACTGCTACATACATTATAATCATCTTCAGAGACTTTTTTATTTTTGGAGGGGGCCGTTATATGATGAATGACCAGTGACAAGTAAACTTCTGTATGTTTATCCTTTTCTAGGAATTAACACTTATCTTTCCCTGCCATTAAAATAATCCAGCTGATATTTCAATTGTATACAACATTACTACTTATCCAGAAGGTACAATATTAAATGCAACTTCATTCTGGAAGGAATAGCCAGTAACCAACCAACCAAGTGGCTAAAATATTTGCTATGGTATTGTGTCTACTGCTGTACCTTACCCCTTTATGTTCCAAAATCCTTCATACTGTTGGTGGAATACTTGAAGAATTATCAGAGTTACCAACTGGTAGATGTTACTGTCCAAGTAAAGGTTGAATCACAGATATCAAATATAGGGGCTAATTTACATTATAAGCTACTATATCCTACTTTGCTGTAGAAAAACACAGGTCCACGACTTCCTGAAATAGTAATTTAGGGGCAAACTCAGAATTATAAAACAAAGCTTTGAAGTTAAGCACTATGAGTATAATGCTTTTGCCACTCAAGTCAGATTGGGTGACTGGTAATGAAAACAGTAATTGCTGGACATATTAATTAAAGAGCTTTTAGAGAAAATATTTAGAGATTTGGAAACAAAGCTGGCAGAAGACTATATTTATAGCTGTGCCGTACCTCTTCCATCAAGGTCTGTTGGAAAACTGCACGAATGGAGAGACAACATTGATGGAAATTCTTTATTAGCTGAGGGTGGATAGAGCCGCTTAGCTGGGCCACCTCTTCATGGGTCGGAGTAATAAAGATGCCTTGCACTGTTTCTAAGGCAACATAGTGGAAAAGTGTGTTCTCAGGACCCGATGTCAATCTTGAAAAGAAAAAAGATATTTAAGTAATCTTAAAAATATTGCTTCTTTTGAATTGTGTAGACTCCTAATAAGTTTTTATCTACAATATAATCTTAGGAGTGTAATTAGGGAGGGGAAACTAGGCCAAACATTTAATTTCCTCTTCCTCCTCAACTGAAGTACAGGCTAGGGTTATTATCAATTCCCTTAATGGAGGCAAGTATTACATGTTATGCAAGGATAAATAAACACCAATTCATTTGCAAGTAACTTAATCGTCCCTTTGCTAAACAACCCAAATTGGCTAACCCCCTCTTTTTCCGTGGCTGGTAATGAATAACTCAGCTCATGCCTGGCCCAGATATCTAACAAGCCATAAACATGCTATCAGTCTAGGGCAAACCACATATAAAAACACCTTCCATCAAACTGAACACATTTAAGTTAGCAGCATAAAAGTCTTTTACCATCAGTTAAACTGATGATCCTGAAGAAAACTACAATTATTATTACTAACTGCAAGCTGGGTGAATATTCTAGAATACCATGTAGTATCCCACTATTTCTCATCAGTACAGTCTTCCTTCTCTTCTAGGTTCTCTTAGTGTTTTCATTTCTCCCTTCTTCTCCTCTGCCCTTTCTTCCCCTATTTAGGTCTCAGTCAGGCCAGCAGAGCCTATAAATACTGCTTATTTCTACTAGTAAGCAGAGCTAAAGAACAACAATAACGGCAATAATAATCTGAATGTAATAATATACTGAATGCCTCTATGTGCCAGGGCTGGTGCTTTAAAATACATTAGTCTTAATTCTCATCCTGACTGTGCAAGGTATTAAATATTACTGTCCTCATTTTAACCACGAGCAAGTCAGTGTTCCACAGACTTGAGTTAACGTGCTAGAGGCCGCACGGCTAAGTCAGAGCTCATCTGTCTCTGAAGCTTGCTCCACCTTGCTTTTCCCTCTCACTGATGACTACTTACTGGCAATCTTTAAATATAGGGAGAGCAATTCTCCATTTGCATCTCAGATGCTCAGGCTGCCCCATTCTAATTCTAATGTCTATACAAAAAAATTCCTTCAGTTTATTTATTTTTCCAGCTATTAAGCAGAGGCAAGGAAAAGGCATATATCAGCTCTGAGCCTGATACTGCCTCAGATGAGCACTGGGCTAAGGAGTGAGTATCTGGGCAGCAGACCACAGCCCCCACTACAGACTAGAAATAGTGAACTCTAATTCAAAAATTAGACACGCAAAAGGGAGGTTACCTGTGGAGGAGAGATAAAGGGGGCTCCCACATTTTGAAATATTATTTTATATGTATTTTATCTCTTATAATAGAGTATCTTTCCTATATGCATAATGAACAGCATTAGAGAAATAGAATAGATATTACCTTTAATATCAATGATATATCATATTGGGTTGTCGGAAAAGTCATGACATTTTTTCTACGTTTTTCGTTGCAAAAATGCGTCATGACCTTTCCGACAACCTAATAATTACAATTGTTGAATAAAATCTCTATATGTTATGGATTTATACTTTCTCATTGTAAAATTTCTTCAAAGACAGAAAGAGTTAAGTGAAAAAAAATATTATAAAGAAGTTTCTTACTTCATTGTGTTACATATTTCCAATTCTTTTTCTGAAAGGTCCTTTTTCACGTTCCCCAACTGAAATGGATTTGGAAGACTTGACTTCTTTTTGGTGACCTGAAAAATATAGTTAAGTATATCAGTTTATAACTAAGAATGGAATCAAACAGCAGAAATAACAAAAAAGCTAAATATCCTTCTAAGAGAACTACTTACTATTTTCCAATGTTATCTTTGAATATTTTCAGTGCTACCTTGTGCCTCTTGGCTTACCCTGGGCTAACAAAGACTCCAGGGCCATGTAATAGGAGGACATGATAGTTCTCCCTGAAAAACTCCAACCAGAGCTAAATTGTTACAATTTATATGTATGCAAACTTATCTCCCTCTCTAGACTGTACTCAAAGGCCAGGGCTGTATCTTACTCATCTTTATATGTTGTTTATGTAGCATTGCCCTGGGCACATAGTAGGTGTTCAGTCAATAACTGAATGGCTAAATCTTAGATAGCTTAATTCAGTTTCTCCTAAGAGGTGTTCCTTAATTCTATCCAAATCATGCTAAGCTATATTTCCTACTGATTTCCCAGACTGGGATAGTGAGGACGCTACCAATGTGAGCACTTCCTAAATACACCCACTTAGGGCTCCAAGAGCGCTCTAGTGTTTGGAATTAGGAGATCAAATCTATGGTTATTTGTGCCATGACATTCAGAATCCCATATTTTATTCCTGCCCCTTCTCAGACTCCTCCTTCTCCACGCTTTGACTGGCATCACCTCCTTCCACCCAAATGGCAACTTTCAAAAATGTTTTGAAAGAGCAGCATCACTAGAATAAGTAGAAAGCCTCTCAGGGTGATTGCTTTGATAATAATTTGTATATATTATGGTGTTTCATAGAAAAAAGAGGAAATGTTAAATAAGCATCTGAAAAATGAACATAGTCTTTGCTAAATAGTCACATTTTGAATTCCTGAGTATGGAGACCAGATCTTCACAGGTGTGGATTAAAAAAAAATCTATAAAAAAATAGCAACAAACACACACACACACACACACACACACACACACACACTTTAAGTTCCTGATTCTCTTTCTGCTTCTGCTGAACATTTTATTGACTAGTCAGATCAGCCCTCCAAATGCCCCACAACTGGGCTGTTGCCTGTTAACACGAATTGGGAGGAAGAAGATGAATGGAGAAAGCAGGACCCAGTGTTTTCCTACTCGTAAGTGGTGTCAGATGTCCTGGATATTAAGGGGCTACTGTTTTATCACTTGATATTTCTTCCTCTTTTTGGTTCTAAATCATTGGTTTGCTAACAGTGACTAAAACCACCACCGGTTCAAATGAAGAGTGATCTACCATTAAAAATTCTCTTACAATGATAAAATAAGGACTGGAAAGACAGCCTCGCTCCCAGAATGAACACCTGAATGAACACACACCTTTGACAAGGCCCCACTTTCTTCTGAACCATTGGAGCCCTGAGATTCTCTTTGCTTCCGTACCGCATCTGGTGTAGTGTGGGGGCTTGAGCCAACACATTCTCCACCTTCACAGCCATTGTCAGATCCTACACTGCTTCTGGAAGGACTGGGCTTACGCGTTTTTACGGAATAGTCACCAAAAAGAGTTCTTCTGCACGTTGGAGAGGTTGCTACTTTGGAAGTACCTTGTAGCCTACTGAGGATAGGTGAGGTTGTCAAAGCATCTAATTTTTCATGTGATCCAGAAAGGAACCAGTCAGCACAAGACAAGCAGGGACTTGGAGAAGATGCCAGCCGTTCATTTATGCGGGAATCCACTCCTTCCAGCTGCTGAAGAGTTGATTTAACCTGGTCCACATATATACAGTCTGGTCCAGGATTCCCAATAGCTTTGGATGCACAGCCTCCAGCTTCTAACAGCACACATAACATATAATGCCTCTATAAGGAACAAGTAATTAATAGAGATTTAGCTACATGCACATATAAATTTAGGAATACTAAAGATCTATGGACATTTGACATAGCCATGTGATGATTATTAAAAACTCCTCCCCCCCCTTTCTTGCTTAGTTATTTCAGTTCTTCTTGATCACCCTAGAAAACAAATCTCTTATTGCTGTATCCTGTTATACCATCGGTCATTACTTTTGGCACATAGAATTTCCTAAGGTAGCTTAAAAAGAGCCTCAATTACTGGATTTCACTTACAATCACATATTTATTCTGATTCTATAATGTGGTCCTGTTTCCCTCTATTTCCCAAAACAAACCATAAGATAAAACCACTATATAACTGGGAACAAAAGATCTTAAGAACCTGCTAAAATCTTATCGTGGGTTTCATCAATATTTCTCCATGAGTATTAAATGGATGCAAAAGAAAAGAAGGGGCATCTAACATTTTCTTGAATACTGGTATTTGACACGCTCATAATTTGAAATAATCCTATTTGTGTATTTATTTAGATAGCAAATGGCAAAAAAAAAAAAAAAGAAAGAAATCAAGAAAAAACCAAGAAAGAAGCCAAGGTAAATTTACCAAGCCAACAATTAGCAAAAAATATCTCCCTTCAGGTTCCTGAAAGACCTCAGTGTTTGAGTCAGTAGAAGGTTGGAGGTGGTGTCGAGGAAATACTTCTCTCCATATGACCAGCTGACCAATTCTTTGTTTTGCTGCTAAAGGCAGTAGGCAGTAGTGGCGACAGTAGACAACAATGTCAATGAGGTCATCCTTAGGCAAATGGCTGCATATCAAATAACCCTTGGGTTTAAACACAAAGAAAAGTCAACTAGTGATATCCAGCAATCATCCCATAACATATTTTTAAGAGTTTTATAGGTACTTCTTCAGTTGGTTTAAAATATAAATTTCAAATTGAATAAATTAGTAATTGAATAAATTAGTAATAATAATATAGTAATAATGATAATAAATAGGAAAAATACATACTAAAAATAAATGCCCCACCGCACCCCGAGGTCAACAAATATTTATGGTAACTTAAGTTTATAACAGTTAGATGTTAGCACAAAGCAAGATCACCTCTGAGAAGTGTAAGACTGCATGTTTGGAAAAATTAGAAAAGCACTGAATTCTGAGTCTGGAAAGTGGAGAATCAGGAGCTGAGGTGGGGAGACACTTTTCACTGTGCACCATTCTGTATTGTCTGATTCTTTTTTTGGATACGTTTAAAATTGTGTTTTAAAATCTTTTTGAAAACGAAAATATTTAAATTCATTTGATGTTTAACTTGCTTTACATGGAAGTCAACTACTTAATGTTAAAGGATTTATTAAACAGATGCATAGCTATGTCTGAAGATTAGAAACAAGCACAGTGCTGCAAAAGGAAAGCGAGAAAGTACTGCTCTCCTCTCTCACACACTTGGTTCCTTGAGTACAGTGTCTCCTTAATACATATGTAATCACTCTAGAACAGCGGTTCTCAACCTTTCACAGGGGTCGCCTAAGACCATCAGAAGACACATATTTTCAATGGTCTTAGGAACCGAGACACCGCTCCTCTATCCGTCTCCAGGCCCACATGCAGATACGCCCACATACGAGTACCCGGAGACCCCAAAAGGGATTGCGACCCACAGATTGAGAACCGCTGCTCTAGAAGGTAGTGAAGTCAGAAATATTTATTGTACTTGTAAATAAAATGCTACAAGTCTTGTTTTAAGATCTTAATTTTAGGGTACCTACTACATTCAGAGGAAAAGAGATAGTTGAATTTTCCATTTTGTAAAAGTTTGAGGAAATTTACTTTACGTCTGTTCTTATAGCAGTTGGACATTTATAAAAGTTTCAAGCTTTAGCTTACCTTGTAAAATAGAGATGACCCTAAAATCGTATACAGCCGCCTCATGTCATGGTAATCCTCAGACTGGGGGAAAAAAACCACAGTGGATTTAAAAATCCTCATTAAGCTACGACAGTTAAAATGCAATTATATTCTTCAGTAACTAACCTTTTATAATGCCTTCTTAAGAAATCAATATATGGGGATATTAGGGTAAAGATAATGTACATATATATTTATTTTGACTGAGAACAATGTCATTTTTGATTCTTATAAGAAACTGTTGATTAGAGACATCTGAGAATAAACATAAGATTTGTTACACCAAGAGGGATTAAAACAAACCTATGAAGACAAAAAGCTTCTACACTAATACATCATCTAAAATACCCAATATTTTATCAAATAGTATATCAAAATATGCTATTTTTGTTGTTTGTTTTTTTTTAGCTGAGCCATCCTGGCACCTGTTGGCAGCTCAGTGGCAGCTCAGCTCAGGCTGGACGCGAACCGCTGTTGCTCAGAGCTCAAACCCTTGAGCGAGCTCTTAACCAACCGAGCCACTCGGCTAGCCCAAAATATGCTATTTTTGAAAGTCCAAATTGGTACAAGCTATTTGGCGACCACTGAGTAGTATATATATATATATATATATATATATATATATATATATATATATATATACATACATATATATATATATATAAAATTTAAATACACATATTCTTTAAGTAAATCCTTTTGTAAATTTGAGTAAATTCTTTGAGATCTTCTGGCAATCTACAAAAATAATCAAGAGAATCAAGATTTTTGTATAAAAGTTAATAAAATTATTCATAATATGCACAAATTGGAGATAAAGTGAGGTTCAGCGATGGAGAACAGTTAATGAAATTAGGTATGTTCGTAACAGAATGTCATACATGTGTTAAAAAAATAAGGTTGATCTATATGAGCAGGCACTACAGGTTTTAGGATATACCATTCGGCAAAGAATGCAGCTGCAGAACAAAATATCACTATGATCTAGTTTTTGTTAAAAATAGCACTCCCCAAGGGTCGGCCGAGTGGCATGTTGGTTAGGAGTTGGCTTGGGATGCCAGCTCTGAGAAGCAGGGCCCCAGTTCGAATCCCACATGAGTGCCAGTGACGCTGCGCCCTCTACAGCTAAGATGGTGAACAACAGCTCAACCTGGAGCTGGGCTGCCGTGAGTCGCCAGTGACCGCGTAGGCTGCAGTGGGGCTGGCCGGTAGCTGGCGTGCGCTTTCCTGAGCTGCCATGAGACGCCGTGAGCAGCTGTCCAATGGCTGGTCAGCGACTGCCTCACCCGGGAAGAGTGCAATGATAATACCAACATGGGCCATTGAAGCGACATCCTCCACAACTAGACTGAAGAACAAAAGGACAGCAACTTGTCTGTTCCCCTCCCCCAACCCCAATAAAATCTTTAAAAAAACAAAAACATAGCACCTCCAAACACATGTACGAGGTCTGACAATTAAGTTTGTGAACTTGTTGCAATGGTGTTGCTAACCTTTTTTGATACTAAAGGGATTTTTCATTATGAATTTGTACCAACTGGACAAACAGCTAACCAAGTTTACTATTTGGAAGTGCTGAAAAGGCTGCACGATAAAGTTAGTGACCTGAACTCTTTTCCAACAATTCATGGCTCTTGCATCATGACAATGAACCAGCTCACACGACACGGTCTGTGAGAGAGGTTTTAGACAGTAGACAAACAACTGTATTGGAACATTCTCCCTACTCACCTGATCTGGCCCCCAATGACTTCTTTCTCTACCTGAAGATAAAGGAAACACTGAAAAGGAAGACATTTTGATGACATTCAGGACATCAAGGGTAATATGACAACAGCTATGATGACCATTCCAGAAAAAGAGTTCCAAAATTGCTTTGAACGGTGGACTAGGTGCTGGCATTGGTGCGTAGCTTCCCAAAGGGAGTACTTCAAAGGTGACCACAGTGATATTCAGCAATAAGCTATGTAGCAATTTTTTTCTAGGATGAGTTCACAAACTTAATTGTCAGACCTTGTATTTCAAGACTGTTACCACTTGGAAAATATTTAGAACAATGACTGAGTTACCAAATGAAAAATCAGTATTGATTCTTTCCTAAAATTCACCGCTTTTCTTACCAGTTCTGCAAAATCTGCAGCCTCCAAGTCACTCAGTGCCGTGTCTAATTCCATCTATGTGGAGGAAGAAAGAGTAATACAAACAACTCATTATTTTTTAATAATGGCCATATAAAAGTGCTTCAAAATTAATGGAAGAATTGAATAAGTATCTTTGAATAAATGTCCCAAAATGGAACATCTTGTTTTAAAGCTTTGCAATGGCAAAAAATTAATTTATTTAACATATTGGCATTTTTCAATTAAATCTCAGTTATTGCAAAATGGGCTTCCATGTGCATTCTAAGTAAAATAACTGATGAGATTAAAAAATTGCTTTTACTTTTAAGTTAGAACATTTATTTAGCTTATTAAAATTCTTAGAGGAAAAAAATCAGTCTTAACATAGCCAATGTATTTTGAGTTGTTTTTGTTTTTCCGTTTCCTGTATATTTCTCAACAGATGGATTCTTGGAAAATATCAACATTCTTCCCTGTCTGTCTTCTATTGTATAAAAGGGCTGTTAATCTTTATTCATGGATTAAAACATGAAGGCAAGTGTTTCCCCTGGAATCTGGCACAGTTTAACTACCCTACAGAGTTATTAGAAAAATCTTTTACTTAGGATTTAGCTTTTGTTTCTATGGAAATTCCCTGAACTCCTTCATGCATTTTTTTTTTACCTCCCTAAAGCATTCATAATTTAAAAATAATAAATTTAATCTGTAATGCATATACATAAATGGTAAATTATTGGCAATTAAAGTTCATAGCATATATGCTATTTATGAAAAAGAATCTTTTTTTTTTAAGTCCCAGGCACTCTCTGCAGGACTGTTTCACAGACTGTGTCTTTACTGAGATGACAAAAGCTTTGGAAACATTAGTCATGCCTTTCAGTGCTTTTCACACAGTATGACTTATTACTCATTTGTGACCTACATTTTCCTGCATCAAGCAAATACTTCATGTTCTCCTTTCTGCGGCTATAGTTTCTCTTGTGAAAAACAACACAACAAAAAGCAAATGACCTGCTTGTGATGTTTGATCTCAGAAACGTTACTGTTTAATTGCTATTCCTGCTACAGAACACTTAGGCTAATGTACAAGGTTGCTATAATTGTTTCTTCACATTCCTTAAGAGAAAAGGTAAGTATTTTTTCTCTTAATTATTCCAGGGTACCTTAGGAAAAATTATTTTTTTTTAAAAAAGAGAACATCTGACAAACAATCAAAATAAGGAAATTCTCAAACACCTGGAACAAAAAAACTGAAGTAAAATCTCCTCATATACTAAACTCAGAACAAGTCAATTTTTCCATGTTAAAAATAACTATTCCTTTCCACCTAAAATTTATCAGGCACAAATAACACACGTATATTTTTAACTAGATTTCTTAAGGCATAAAATTCCTTAGTATTTTCCATTAGGAAATACATATATAGTCAACAAATCCTACTATTTTTTTTTTTTTTTTAGCAGTGGGGAATTGGGGAAAGGGGAACAGACAAGTTACTGTCCTTTTGTTCTTTTTTAGCTGAGCCATCCTGCTACCTGATGGCAGCTCAGTGGCTGCTCAGCTCGGGCTGGACTCGAACCCCTGTTGCTCAGAGCTCAAACTCTTGAGCGACAAATCCTACTATTTTTAACATAATAAACAATTTCAAAGAGAAAAGGAAAGTGTGTAGGTTCTTTGAATCTGCTGGTAAAAGAAAAACAAAAACTTCAAGGGTTATTAGTTTTTCAAACTTTACATTCATCAGCGAACTTTAGATCACTTTATTGAAGGTATCTAGCTCTCTTTCTAAAAATATTGTTCTTAATTTTCTTAACCAGGCTACAAAATATAGAAAACATCTCAGCTGTATCCTCCTTGTTTCCTATGTATTAATTTCACCTATCCAGCTCAACTGTAGGCATCCAGAAGTCGTTTCTGGATTCCCCAAAGCATAGCACAAATCTGAGTCCCTGGCACAATGAAGAATATCTCCATACAGTAGAATTAGACTTAAGAAGGGTAAATGCTACTAAAGCTTTGGTAAGATAAGCAACTGGTATGATTTGAGGCAACAAATGAAAAAAATATACAATTCACAGATTGACTTTTCATTTTGACATTCTTTTAGGTTGAGATAAAAGCATACAGTCCTTTTAATCAAATGTATGCTAAATTAAGAAACAAATGCTAATGAAAAAGAAATCTGAATACAGGTCATAGCCTTCACATGGGATTTATAAGACCAAAATTTATAAGACCAAAAAGACATATTTTAAAATGTCTTCAACTTCTTATGAGGAAGGTAATATTTAATCTCAATATATCCAAAGTCTAAAGACATTGCCCCTGAAAACATTACCTCCACCCTCGCAGAAAGACTACACACTTTGAGGGAAGAGATTTGTTTAATGAGGAGGTGCTGAGACGGAGGATGGAACCTAGGCACTGCAAGACCAGACTGGCAGGACTCATGAGACGGCGCCTTCTGACTCATGAGATCAACTTTGTGTCTTTCAGGAGAAAAAGGACTGCCCAGTAGGCATGAGACAGACTTTGGAGCCGGGGGTCTTTCTATCATAAAGGTAAAGTTATCTATTTACTTTCTGTCTGTAGTGAACACATATGATTTCTTATGAAAACACTGATGGAGGCAGAATTAAATATATCATACTTTTTAGTTATTACATGATTTAGGAAAATGGTCATCACTGGCCTGAGATATCAAAAGTTGCAGCCACGGGCAGCTGACAAAATAAAAATACCAGAAGGTAAACGTTCCTCTAAACATGCTCTAACCTCTCACCTCCTTCCAAATAAAAACTACATAATAAAACTCTCACCACTACAACTGTGACCACAATGTGCCAGGCTCAATACCAAGCACCTTCCCTGGAGTAACTCATAACTCCTCCATGAAGTAAGGTACTATTATTGTCCCCATTCTACAGATGACGAAACTGAGCAAAGCAACTGATAAAGCAGTTTAAATTATTATTAAACTGTCCAATAGGCATGTATTTGATCATACATTAAATAGTCCCTGAATTGGGTTTTTACTGCAGCATAGCCTGGGTTTCTTCATGGGCAGGGAACTGGCTGTGGCATGGTGCATCTTTAATACTGATCCAAATGCTGTGGCTGAATAGATCGTTAGTGATGAAAATGTCTGAAATGATCTTTTCAGTCATTCAACAAAAAAGTTACTCTGGGTCTATAGGTAAGACCACAATCACATTGGTAATACTTAACCATCATAAAGCCTTACTCTTGGTAAGCTAATTACAAATGTTCCTGTACAGAAAGATTGTGCTATTATTTGTGGAGATCTGTACTTTAGCTAAGAATGTTGCTGGTTAGCCAATCATGTCATCTACATTTAATCTATACAGAAAGATAACCCTAACTCCAGGACGTGGCATCATGACATCAAAGTCACAAAATTCCAAAGTAAGATACACCATATAATTATGACATCTGAAAAGTGTTCCAAGTTTGGACGAAGCTTAAATGTTAGTGTCAGATGAGAGAGCTAATTTCTATTCAGAAAGAAAAATGTGTAGATTCACTAGACCTCCGACTTCATCAACTAATTGTCTCTCTAACTCTTACCCACAATACTGCAAATAACAAAAAGCCTAAGGGAGAAAAAAAAAGAGAGAGAAGGTAAAGAGTTACAGAGCACTGGTGCTGGCTCTCCTGTACGACATCTGAGGTCACCTTGATCTCCTGTGGCAGTGTGAGCCACCGTGCCCCAGGGAGGTTGTCCAGAAGCACTGCGCTGGAGGCCTCGTACTGCTGCGCGCTGGGGCTGGCACTGGGAGGCAGGTTGGCAGGCTGCAGCGCTCTTTGAAAGAACAACTCGAAAAAGGGATCCAAACAAGAACCATTCTCAACCTGGCAAAAGGCACTGAAGAAACAAGAGCTGTAAGTTAGAACATGTGGGAATGACGGCCATCTTTTGTATGTTCCTAACTATATAAGCTCTCTTCCTTACTCCTCCCCCTTAGTAGGAATTACTGCTATAATGTTACTGATAGAGTGTGTTAAGTATTTTTTACCCTAAAACCTACTGCCAAATGAATTAAGTAGATGGTACTATGGAAGAACCAGGGGGCTAAAACAAGTGTTGTATGTACAACAGTGGTGTATGTACAAAAGGGATGAAGTACCCTTTTTGTAAAAAAAGTAAGTTGCTTTTACCTCTGACTAGCATTCATCCATTCACAACTCTCAATATCTTTCAGGCAATATGGGACAATAAAGAGATTTTGAGCTTTGTAATAGAACAGATCTGGCTTTGAATCTTATCACTGTTCTTACTAGGTAGATATCTCAGGAAAATCAGTTACCTTTTCCTTGAACTTTTGTTTCCAACTCTATAAAAATGGGGATAATATAATTTAACTCACATGCATGTGTGTAAAAAAAGAGTATACATATTCATAATATATAGAACATATATGGCAGGATACACATGAAACTAAATAGGCAGTATCTTCTCTATGGTCTACTACATAATATACTATATAAGTACTTATGCTTATTACTGGTGAGCAGTAAGCACCTAAATTAGCCCAAGTTATTTCCTCCCCTCTTTACTAACGATAAGGCATAACTATCGAACAACTCAAAAAAAAAGAAAAAAAAAAGAGAGAGAAACTAACACTTGGTTTTAGCCATGTAAAAGTAATACAGCATTGCTTGCAACCCTTCATGGGAATAGCCCAATGGTAACACAATGACTGTACATATACCACTCATGTCAGAATAACATTTGCTGATTCATTCACAAATTACTTGAGTGCCTACTATGTTCCAGGCACTATTTTCATTGCTAGAGGTACAGCAGTGACAGTATCAAGACAAAAGACAGGTCTCTGCCCCTGTGGAGCTTACGTCCTAGGGGAGAAAGACAACAATGAACAAAAAGCAAAAACATGATCTTGTATGAAGGACTATACAGAAAATAGGACCACGTGAATGGGTGATGTGACTGGTTGGGGAAGAGTCTTAGACTGGAGCATTTAAGCTGAGACCCCAAAGGCAAGAAGGCCCCATGAGAGGAAGGAGTGCAAAAGCTGTAGGGTGGGAAGGGCTGGGCCGGGGTGCCGGCAGAACCACGCAGAGGGAGCCATGTGGGTTGAGATCTGAAATCAGAAAGGTAGGTAAGCATCAGATAGTGTAGAAAGATCATTCTAACTGCGTTCGGAAATTAATTCAAGTGGCAAGAAGGAAGGCAAGGAAACCAGTTAGGGGAGGACGGTAGTAGCGAGAGATGATGGTGGCTGGACAAGGTCATAGTGGAGATGGAAGGAAATGGATGGATTTGTGATTATGACTTGCTGGCGGGTTGGCGGGGAATGAAGGAAACTGTTAATAGCTTTAAATTGATCACAACGCTACACTTTGTTAATGTATAATCTGTTTTCTGTAACTCACTGGGCCTTTATAGCTTTCATAATCAGAAGAAAACCTTGTTATTAAGAAATTGTTGCAAAGTGACTATTAACAACATCTTAGATCCATACTGCTTCTTGGTTTTAAGAACTCAATGGGTTTTCACATTTATTGCTTAGTCTTTCATATTCTCACTTGAACAGGAAGAAACTAGTTAAATTTGCTGTCATGTTGGAGATATTTCCAAATCAATGGAACCTAAATTTCAAAATGAAATTCAGAGAAATTAAGAATCCCCCTGCCCCCAACCTACTCCATTGGATTTGGCAGAACAACTCCAATTTACTGTCTTCATGTATAGAATTCATTGCAGGAATTTATTCTTCGATTATCTCTGGTTTTATGAAAACAGAAACCTTCAATTATGGCAAAACATAGCAAGGTTTGCTCATCTAGTGTAAATTTAAGGAGGTAGTTTATAACCACATCCTTCCTCTTCATCAGTTAAACATTTCCTCATTAGCAAGAAGTAAAAGCACTATTTGTGGCTGCCCAGCCCTTTGTAGTTCGCACATTTGGAAAATGCTAATAAGTAATTAATGGGGTTTGAGAGGAATGTGTCTCCTGAGCAGTTCTTGGAGGAGAATACTGCAAACTAGACAATTTTCCCACATGGCCCAGTCATAGAAAATTCCTTAAGGCTGCTTTGAGAATGGCGACAATAAAGATCCACATAGATAAACAGAGGGCCAATATCACTATGGTTGGAAAAAATGTATAAACTATCTTTGGGTTTATATAGTGATATACACTTAAGGCTTTGAAAATAAAGGTATCATTTGAGCTCTCTGAAGTACTGGGACTTACAAATCCCACAAAGAGAAAAATCTATTTTCCACCCATAATTTTACATGTTCAAATGTGGAACAGTTACCTCAAATTTTCTCCTTCAGATCACATTATATTGTAAGGTTAAAAAAGCAAGAAGCAGAAAAATATGTATAATATGAGCCCACACATGTAAAAAAAGAGTGTGCATATTCATATTATATAGAAAATATATGGCAGGATAGACAAAAAACTAAATAGTCAATACCTTCTCTACTGTATCTTTTATTTATTTAAGAGTGTATACATTTTTTTTTTACTACCATTTTTTAAGAAGGAAGTATCACATTTTAGGATAGTGAATTTAACAATTGTCTTATAATCAGAGAAAAAAAATTAAACCTTCTCTGTCTTTTCTGTATGTTATGAAAAAATGCTCTTACATTTTCCCCTACAGAAATATTCAAATCAGAATAGAATTGTGGTTACATCACTATTTCACTAAAGTAACATATGAGACCAAAAAAGAAAAAGGGGTTGAATGAAAAGCTGCCTACAGCTGTAAGATAAAAGCAGTTATAAAGGATGAGAAATAAGAAGGAACAAAAACATTTGCCATCCAAGGACTAGTATAAGGAATAGTATTATGTGCAAAAGGTGATTTAGAATCATACACTTAAAACTTGAGCTTCAGTTCAAAGAAGTACTTACCTATCTAAAGAACCATACATAAATTTTAAGGTCTGGGCAACATCTTCTATCATATTCCTTAACTGAGGAAGAGGCACTCTGAAAAAGACAAAAATACATTTGCTTATTCATGACACACTCAAATTATACATATCCTAAAAGAGGCAGAGTAGCTTCATAGCCTCCACTCAGTTCCTTAGCTGGGCCTTCTTATCAGCTCACTAACTGTGCTACCTTTATCTTGCTACTGTATTTTCTGTTTCTTTCCTTTTGCCTTTTGAGCTACTACAGAAGTCAAAAGACAAATGTTTTACCCTGCCAAAAGTATCAACATCCTAAAGTATCTTATTGTGGATATTCTACAGTTCTTGTAAACTCACAATTGCAAAACAGCCCAGCTTTTCATACTCCAACCCATTGGTATAGGGCCGTCTCCTAGCAGGGTTCATGCTTTGTCCTGTGCTTTTATTTTATTTTACATAAGGTACTTTACCAACCGCTGCTTTTAGTGTCCATGAGGAGACCTGGAACCAGTCCCCTGTGAATAGCAAGGGACAACTATAGTTCCTTTTCAGACAGAAAAACACATGTTAGCTAGTTCAAGAGAGCCATCATCTAGTATATATCTCTGCATGTTAAAAATTTTGAACTCTTCATTTATGATGTATGCCTCTGTGGAATATTAAAGTCACCTTCAAAACATCATTTTGACATTTTTCACTGCCCTCTTTTGGAGATCCTGTTTGTGGTGTTAAAACATGTCCACAAATGGTATGATACTCTTGTTCTCAAGAGGTGGAGCTTAATTCCCTCCCCTTGAGCTTGGGCTGAAGTTGGCAACTCACTGTAACAAATAGTACATGGTGGAAATGACAGTGTATCTGTTCTAAGACTAAGTCATAAAAGATCTTGCAGCTTCCCCCTCTTTCTTTGTTTTGGGCTTTGCCTTGGGGTAAACCTGTTGACATGTTGTGAGGATACTCCAGCAACTCCATGGAGAGGTCTATGTGGCAAGGAACTGATGCCTCCTCACAATGACCGTGTGTAAAACATCTTGTTAAGCAGGCACACATAATTAATACGCTATTATATAATAAAAGAAACCTAGTTAACAAAGTCCTTAGTAATAGAAAATAGTCACATTCATGTTCAGATTGGCTGGGTAATGCATTTTTGGGGTCTCCCTTTTTCTTGGGAGAGCTTAAAGCAACACCAAAAGAAAATTTGTCCTAACTGGTATTTGCTAAAGTTGTGTCAGTCACATACTACAGTACTTATTTTTATGTTTGGTAACTATTTGGTAGACAATGTATGATGGTTCTATGGACCAGAATTTGGTAGACAATGTATGATGGTTCTATGGACCAGACAGGAAAAACTAAATTACTTTTTAAAGTAGGCAAGAGTCTGAATTACGAGTTTTAAAAGTCACTGAACAGGGACACAGACTAGTGTATCAGTAGCTAAATCTATCTCCTTGGGGCTGTTCTTTGGATTGCTACCCCCATCCCTAGCTTTTCACATCCTACAACATTAGGGAAGCAATGTAGTATGAAGAATTCAAATAGACTCTCCTTCAATTTCCAGTTCTGCCTCTTGCTGATTATGTGACCTTTGGCAAATTACATAACCTTCTCTTCGTTTTACTCTCCTCATTTATAAAATGGGGCCAGTAATTGTTAAATCCATTTTGAGGTGATTTTGAAGATTAAATGAGATTAACAAATGTAAAGTACCTAATGCAGTCCCCTGAGTCCATGGTCAGCTCAATTATCAATGTCAACCCTGCTCTCACCTCTGACTATTAAAATAAGATATATTTCAAAATACTTGCAAACAAGTTCAGAAGGAGACCATGATAATAAAAGATGTACAATTAGAGAAGTCACTTTAGAGTTAAATATTCATTATTTTGTCAGGTGCTCAACATGAGAGCAAAGCACCTTTCTGCTGAACCTTAATTTTCCAAAATTTCCAACAGTAAAAAACTGCAAGCATGCAATATCCAAATCATGATACTGTCAAAACTTTGAGCAGAGGACAAGCTCTTCTCTGTCACCTTGGTATTGGCCACATCTCAGAGGAAAGTGGCTGGCAGCAGGCACCCTTTACTGATTAGCCCAGCTGGGCCTTCCTGGCCCCTCTCTGAACCATTCGTACCAAATGAACACACGTAGTGTGTTCATACTAGTGCAACATACTAGTACAACATATTTTTAAATCACAAAACTGTTTACAGAGGTTGCCTTTGATGAAAATGTCATAATTTTAATGAAACAGACTTTGTTAGCAGTATTTGAGAAATAAGTTTAAGGTAAACGAAGATCTCAACTTACTCTTCAGCAGGCAGGCCAATTAACAACAACTTGTCAGATTCTTTCCAGTAAGCCACATGAATTTTTTTCCCATTTAAAATAAGGGATGAGCTAAGAAAAAATAAAGTTAGAATATCTTTAAATACCATAAAATTATAAACAGCCATTCATAAAAGATTACATATGGTATGATTTAAGAACTACATGCTTAATAAGCAAATTTCTTGGCATATACCTAACTGCCACACAGAAGACAAGGAATTGTATGACAACAAAAATATGTTCTGAAATATTTAACAAAAACCTTTAAGTCAAACAAAAGTAGACCCATTACAGCAAAAAAAAAAAAAAAAAGTTGACATTCTTTTGCTAACATTGACTATATACAAATTTTTCTTCAAAAAAATCCCAGTGTATTAATTTAACAAATCTTTCCTGATTGCCTACTTATGAACATGATTTACTAAAAGAGATTACAAAAAAAGAAAAACATTGTCCCTGCTTACAAGATGATAATTCAATATGGAATACATAAACAAGTAACCAAAATGTAAATCTGATTTAAATGTGTTCTCAAGGAAACTTTTGTAGTGATGGACAGACATATCACTATGGTGATGGCTTCAGCATCTATACCTATATCAGAACTGATAAAATTGTACATTTTACATATGTGTAGTTTATTATACTTCAATTATATTTCAATGAAGTTGGGAAACAAATTTGTTATAAAAAGAGATATAATCATGAACTATGGAAACAGAATATAATGATTTCTTCTTGTGATGTGGGTAGATAGATGGAAGAAAATAAAATAAAAGTATATTCAGTGTTTTCTTTCTTTAAATGAAAATACATACATCAATCTTTATCTGTTGAGTCCTTAAGATATAGTGTACCTTCTATACTGAGTAGACAAGTATGTGGGATTTTCAATAAGAACTGCTAAACCAGTTCTTTTTCTTCCTGTTGTTTTGAAATTTTTTCTTCCTGTTGTTTTGCAGATCCTACTTCTTTTAAAACCATAGAGGTGTCATTTTACCAGGAGATGGGCAAAGGAAAATTAAAGCCTAGGTAATCCAACTTGGCATTTTATCAATATTATGGGGGCTCTTAAAATTTGAGATAAACTTTTCTGTAAAGTTAAAAATTGTTGATATATTAAAGAAGAAAATGGCTTATAATCCAAAGATTTTATGGGGAAAAAAAAACAACCCAACAAAACTGAAAAATAAAACTTAAACGCTTTGAACCCCCTCTTCCCATAAGTTAACTATGGCATTACAAAGTCAGGGCTGGGTAAGCCAACGTGGAATGGGATATTTTGCTGTGTATCTCACTGTATGATGTATCTTATTTTTCAAAAAATTATTGACACCTGTCTTGCTTATGTTACTGTATAAACTTCCACAGATGCTGCTGCATTAGTACTCCACCTAAAGCGTATTCTGTATTTTTTTATATTGTTGTAAGAACAGAACATTTTCAAACTATATGAAAAAAAAACAAGTGTTCAGTCATTTTACCAACAACAGAGGTATTGCTTAGCAAGTTAATAGTCAAGACACAAACAAGAAAAAGCCAAGGCTCATCATACTACCATGCTTAAGAGATACCACTTTCGTAAAAAAATTCTAAAGTAGGTCATTAGTCCAACTTTGTGATTTAAAGTGTGCCCAAACACTGAGCTCGACAGTTGTATTGAGAACCTACACCTTAAATATGACTGGCAGAAATAACTTAGGTGAGAAATAGAGAGTGGCTGCAGATATCCCATCTGCTATGTATGGAGATATCTGTATTATAGATACAAATATATTGGTATAATCGATATTTGTATGAGCATTTTGTTTGGCAGAACCAAGATGAAGACCTTGAAAGAAACAGAATTAAAGCTAAGTAAAAATCAATTATTACCTAGTAACTTGAGTCCCAGTTACATTTTCCAGCATGTCACAGAGGGTGAGAAATATCCCTCTCACACTTTTAAGTTTCTGAGATGCATCAGATACTGGATAATGATACAGAATTTCCTGCTGTGAAATGAAAACAAACAGAAATGATCATACTCCCCAAATTTTCCAACCATTATTTTTGTCACAAGAAGTTCAGACTTTGTACTAAAAAAAAAAGAATCCTCTCAGCTTCAGTGGGAGTTTTATTCAAACATAAGGAGAGAAGTAGATCTGGAATTTTCATACATTACCTAGTATTTAAAAACACTACCTTTGACAATAAGTTAGAGACTGTCAAAATTGGTCATGCTACCAAAATATATACTGAGGACACTAATTAGTTGGAATAATTTCAATTAATTTCAAAGTTTTAAACTTTAATCTCCTTTACAATAAATTCTAATACTAATATTTTATTATAATTCAGTATACAGGTATGTTTATCCCCTGTACTTACATATATACACAGACACTATATGTAACTTTTAGGAGTCTTTAAATTTAATTACTTTTATACTGACTTTTACAAGATAATCTTTGTCATCTTCAGTGAAATCGTTAAATCTTTATTTAAATCCAAGACAAGACTAAATTTAAACTTACAAAGTGGGAATACAAAACTACATTAAAGTAGTGCAGACAGAAAGAAAGAAGTATTATGATATTATAAACTCTTATCTGACTTAAATTTGAAAGGATTTGCCCACCACAAATCAATCTGAATTAAAACTGTAAAAGAGAACACATTTTAAATGTTAGAAAATACTAGCTCTATTAGATAATTCACAAAATGCTTAATATTTTTCTATTTTCAAGAAGAGGATGTGCCCAGGAAACATAGTTTTTACAAAATAAAATAACAAATTTCAAAATCAGTATGTGCATCATGCTAGAACTTTTACACAGAGGGATGAATCATTCCTTCCGTACCTCACTTTTTTGCTGTTATATAAAGCAACATGCCATTTTTCTTACAAGGCATTAAAAGCAGGCAAAATAAAATTTTGGAGAATTCAGAGTAGCTCTACTTATGCTGTTTAATGACAATATCCATAAATATTGGGTTGCCGAAAAAGTCATGACGCATTTTTTCAACGAAAAACATAGAAAAAATACTCAAATTTTCTTGCAATATTTCTAGTGTATAAACAGTTTAAAAATTAAGTCTAACATCAGTCAAGATCTTCTGCTACGTTGACTTAATAATACATTTAAAACTTGGCTAGTAAATAAACTTATTTAACCAAATAACAACTATCACTTTAAACAAATAGCTATATTTTGTTTGATTCATTTTTTGAAATTTCCAAATCTTAAAGAATTCGTAACATAAAGAAGACAAGCTTTTCTTAAATATGCAATTCACATGAAAACAAAACAACCCTGTGACATTTTATTGTAAAATAAGGCATACCAGTAAAAAGGGTCATTTGAGAAAGCCTCTTCCAACTGTTACAATGACCAGCCCAGAAAGCCTCTCTATTAGAAAGCTGGCAAGCTCGACAGTACCTCACCAATTTAATTGCTGTATTTTTAAGCACTTGTTAAGCAGCATGCTTTTGCAGCAGCTTTTACTCTATTCAATAAGAATAAAAAGCCTCTCTTGATTACAGTGTTGATACAGGGCTGTCAACAGACAGAAACCTGTTCATTTGAGAAACATCTACACACTTTCCCATGGAAAGAAAGACAAGGATGACAAAAGGCCAAAGCAGTACCCTACTCTAAGACTACCTAGAAAGAGCCAGGGTGCTACCATCCTATAAATGTATTGTGTTTTATATACTAAATGATTAAAATTTCTCACTTGTTTTAAAGATATAAAGCAATAATAATACATGCAAGAAATTAGAATTATGAACTCCAGGTCTGTACGTATTTTTCAGAACACAGAAAATTACAAAAATACGTATAAGTAAATCCTTTCTTTTCCATTTGAGTTATTGACTGAATTTTGATATATGAAGAAACAACTTAAGGAAATACACCCCTTAGATAAAACAGCTTTGGCACTGAGATTATAGGCTGAAAGGATTTCAAAAGCAAAGAAATGTAAATTAGGTAAAACCTCTTTAGAGCTCACTCCTGCTCAAAGCATTATGGGGAACTAGATATTTGAGAGACCCTTGTGCTGTAAAACTAGATCCACAGCCAAACATACTTGCTGAACTGCTGGAGATGTAAGAAGTAAAGAGGTTTCCAAGGACATCCACTCTACTCTTCCAACCCTCTTCCCCACCGCTGCAAAGCAAGCTGGGGCCTCAGCTGGGAGTGGTGAATGGGGGGCAGAAAGTAGAGGCAGGGTTGTGCTGAGGGCAGATGCCTACAACATGCGCGTCTTCAACCAGGACACCGAGCACTGGGCTAGCGGCTTGGTAGGTGCGCTCAGCCTAGGATCATGGTGTCAAACCCAGATCCTGGAGTAAGGCTGAAGTGCCCCAGGTCAGTAGCAGAAGCAGCAAATTCTCCCTGGAGGAAAGCATTCCCACTTTAGTACCAGACTCCCAAAATCAGGCACTAAGTTCAGTCAGTGGTCCTCGGGGACATAAGAAGGCAAGTCACCACAGGTCAGAGTCCCCTCAGGACTCAGGTAGTGGGATGGGCAGATACAGACTAGAGAAGGGCTCTGTATGAAATGCAGAATCACTAAGACAAGCAACAGGAAACGGCCAGGAATAGCATGGTAGATGTGAATGCAGATTAGTTAAAAACTTTCCAGAAACTTTTAAAGATAAAGCAATGACTATTTAAACAGAAAACACAATGGAGAAGTTAACTTTAACAGTTTGGACAGAGCAGAAGCAAGAAACTGAACAAATTAAAGACAGATTCCTTACATAGGAACAACTGACAGTAGACTTCTCAACAACAATTATAGAAGTCAGAAGACAAAAGAATACTATCTTCTAACAGATTAGAGAACATAACTTTCTACCTAGTTGGCATAAGCTATGCCATGCGTTGACTTCAGCTTCTTCCTGACCACACAGGGAGACTACATTTCTTACCTCCTTGCATCAAGAGACACCACATAATTAACTAGCTCTAGGTACTGGAACGTGGGTAGAAGTGATGTTGCCACTTTTAAGCCAGGCTTCTGAAAAGTGCCATAGAATTCAACATGCTTTCGCTCTTCTCTCATTGGTCAACTAGGGGCAAAGATGCAATAACTGACTCTGGCTCTTGGGAATAATGGAACCACTAGATGAAGGGCTCAAATCACTGAGCCACATGACCAGAAACATTTACATTGAAATGAGAAATAAACTTCCATTATGTTAAGCCTTTGAGGCATTAGGGTTCCTTTGTCATATTGATTGGCCTATTCTGACTAATACAATGGAGATTATAAATCTATCTTTCAAGGAGTGAGAAACACTCAGATAAATAACAACAAAAAGAAGCTATCACCAATAGGCTTTCACTGAAAAGAAATGCCTAAAATATATGTTTTAGGAAGAAGAAAAATAATCAAGTAAGGACAGCCGGAGACATAAGAAAGAATAATGAGTAAAGAAAGCGGTAAGCGGGCCGGCCGAGTGGCGCGATGGTTAAGAACTCGCTTGGGATGCCAGAGGGCCCCAGTTCGGATCCCACATATGAGGGCCAGTGACACTGCCCTCTATAGCTAAGATGCTGAACAACAGCTCAACCTGGA